GAGGCGGAGATTGCAGTGAGCCAAGATCACACCACTGCACTCTAGCCTGGGCAACAGAGCAAGACTCCATCTCAAAAAAAAAAAGAGTCCAAAGCAGTGATAGATATCTTGTTCAGTCACTCATGCTATGAATTACTTCCCTAGAAAGTATACCACATTATAAAAATAATTATAAAAATTTACTCCCTCCTTATATTTTTGTCCTAATTTCTTTGGAATAATATTATTTTACAGTGAACATAAAGAATTTCAGATTAGTTTTAGTTCTTCTAAATAACATCAGGATTTTAAGTTTAATAATTCTACTAAGATTAGTCAATTTTTTATTATCCAAAAATAACAAGGTTTCACAGGTTCTAAAAGCAAATTGAGCATGTAGTTTCCAAGTAATTGAGGATGAAGAAAATCCATATAGCTAATACAACTTTTAACGATATTAAACTAAGGTTAGGAAATATTCAAGCGATTCTAAAATACATTATAATTTTATGTACCCTAAATATAGTTTACCAATTAAAAGTCATCAAATAATTCTAGCAATTCCAGTTTTAATTAAACGGCAACTCTTTTTCCATGCATAGTCTTTGCTGTGCTTTACATTGAAAGTTGTAAAGAAGCTTATCATTATTAGGAAATTTAATAGCCATCGTTGCCTTTTAATCACTAGAATGTATTTTACCCCCTCCTGAGAATGATTAATTTACCCTCCCGTCCCCCGCCCCCCGCCCCGAAAATGATTAATCCCTGCAGTTGAGAAAAAGGAAAAGCGGCCTCTGACCTCTGGGAACTGGCCTGCCTATATCTAGGCCTCATTCTTTTTGAGAACTGGCCTGGAGCTCACTGCTAGGCCATGATGTTCCCTTGTTGGACATAAACAACCTCACAGAGCACCAACTTCATACAGGGCTGTATGATGATGATGTGAGACAAAAAACAACTTTATAATTTTGACTAAACACAGACAAAAGCAAGATCACTGTGCATACCCCAAAAGTACCAGACATTCCCCTCTTTTGGCTAATATGAGTGACTGCTACATCTTTTGAATTAGAGCTTTAGCATACATTTAGTCTTCCCTCCCTCTAGATAAAATTGATTGAAATACTTAATCATAGAATTATTTCTGATGCCTGACAGAGGCCAATCCAGAGCAAAGCCCTGCTTTCCTGAACCCTTCCCAAAATCACAAGTAAAATCCAGATCCTACAATGAGTCTTTTAACACCCCCTAAGTCACCCCATGGTTCTTATTGTTGTCGGTTTCTCTCACTGCAATGAATAATAAAACCCACTTGTTCAACTACAGATATGTTCTTGGTGGTCTTTGGCAAGAAAGCATTGACACATCCAGTAACTTAAAATTTGTGAATATTGGACTATTAGTTCTGTAAAAATACAAATGAGTTTTGTGGCCGTGCACAGTGGCTCACGCCTGTAATCCCGGGACTTTGGGAGGCCAAGCCAGGTAGATCACCTGAGGTCAGGAGTTCAAGACCAGCCTGGACAACATGGTGAAACCCTGTCTCTACTAAAAATACAAAAATTAGCTGGGCACAGTGGCATGCGCCTGTACTCCCAGCTCCTGAGGAGGCTGAGGCAGGAGAATAGCTTGAGCTCGGGAGACAGAAGTTGCAGTGAGCCAGAGATTGAGCCATTGTACTCCAGCCTGGGCGACAGAGCAAGACTCCATCTCAAAAAACAAAAAAGAATTCTGTAAATTGTAAAGTTTTACCAAAATGTCAGTGTATTATTAAGATTTCTGGGCTTGAAATTTTGATTTTCATCAGCATAATCTAAACCCACAAGTATTTAACATTCTACTTTTAAAGTGTATTTGATAAATGGTTTCTTTTTTAATATAAAACGTGTACTTTCTACTCTAGGTCCATGATGAGGTTTACCATCTCAACTGGTTAAAGATCTTATGGCTCTAAAGAGAAGTTATTATTTTAAAGATTCATTATGCTAGGGTGGTTTTTGTTCTAGTTCACATTTTAGGTTAGATAAATGGGAAGTAATACCCCTATCCTTCTTTCAAAAATAGTATTGGAACAGTATTTTTTAAGCATTATATTGCCAGTTATAAAAAGTAAATAATGTTTATATTTTCCTTTTAATTACCACTTTAGATGGTGGAATTTTAAATTATTATATGCATCAATGCAATAAGAAGAGGTTTTGTCTTATCCATTTGTTTAACATGTAATATCAATACTTCTGTGTGTGCTGAGGACATTATAATTTATTGTTTTATTGCTACAGTAGTGATTGGGATGAATATATTTACAGTCATTCCTCAACTCACTACACCAAGCAAAGTTTAGGAAGTTAAATTTGTAGTTACTTAAGTTATCTTCCAGAACAGAATCAGCTAGATCACCATCTCACTGTCATTCAGAGATGCTGTTCTTTATAAACTATTTTTATTTGGAAAGGGATCCGAGGTTTTCAAATAACCAGGTACCATATGGAAGATCTGCTGGCTTATGATTGTGCCTTGTGTAAACATTTTAATATCGGATCCCTAAAATCCAAAGGCTCCCCCAAAGGGGATTAAAACATAATCCCCTCTCTCTATTGCTGTAGTGGATTAACTCCGTATTCTCTCTGCGGCTGGTTTGCTCCCTGAAGACTACAACAAAAAGATTCAGTGCTCCTTAAACATGCTATGGAATTGGAAGTTGTAATTGGAGATTTCCAAAGGACGAGGGTAAAAATGACACACTATTAATGCTGAATATTTCATGATGTGTCTTTCTTAAAGAAAGACCAGTTCGAAGCCCTTTTATAAACGCCGGGAAAATCTCCTCAACAGAACGATATTGGAGTAAAATCTAAAGGAAGCCATCTCCTTTCAGAAACGCAGAGGAGTAAGTAGAGAAGATGTGCTCCCCGTGGAAAGTTCACGGATCGTGTCCTTAAAAATTGTAATGTATTTCAGTAAATCAATGGGTACGGTTTTGATGTTTCACGATCTTTTTTCTCATGTTCTCAATTTGGATACGTTAAATTACTTTTTAGGAGAAAGAAGTAATTCGCCATTTTTAGTGTTTTTGACCATTATTTGTCTCCAAATGCCAGAAACCTCTTACAAATCTTGGTAGTCCTCTGTCTTTAGAATGGAGACTTTTTTGAGGTTTTTAGCAATGCCTAAAAATGTGTAACTTTGTTTCCCGTGTGAACCAAATCACCTTTCTCACCTTGCCCCAATCAAGAGTAAACCGCATAGATTTCTTCAGAGAGAAAATAGGAAAACTGGCATCCAAGGGAGCGTCCTGGTTGCTTAAGGGTTAAGGGAGCGGTTCGAACCGGCCCGAGCGTTGGGGGATTCGGAGGAGGGCGCGGAAGGCAGGAGGCGCCGCCAAGCGCGCGCACAGACCCTCCAATAAACACAAAGGAGGGCCTGGGGAATAGAAACCCAAATCCACTTGTAATCGTACAAGAGATTCGGGCGTAATTACTTGAGCAACCTAGATTAAGATTGATGAGCCTTTAAAGTGGTGCTTCAGATCGACTGCCTCTCCCTTTCCAAAGAAAAACCTTGTGCAACCGAGGTGGACCCCGACTCCGCTGGGCAGAGGCCGAAGCCCAGAGTCCGCGAGCCCCGGGGGCTTATCCGAGGATCGAGAGCAGTGAAATGAAAGACAGGGCTGTGCGTGGGTCTGGCCCAGGCAGTCCCGACAGGCTGAAAGCTGACACTGTCACAGTTTGCTCCTTAGCCACCCCCTTGTAATCGCGACAGAAGCCAGCCCAGCCCTCTGTGTTCCCGCAGCCTCGGGAAGGCTCGGCTTTGTGCAGGACGGTCGCAGATTGGGTGTGTGCTGCGCCAGGGAAGGCCAACTTGGCCGCGTCTCCCGAGGCCGGCCCGGCGGGGGCTGAGGGCGGCATCGGCGCGAGGGATCTCCGCCCGGAGGGCCAAGGCCTAGCGGCCGCAGAGAACCTGACTTTTTATTGCCTTCCCCCCACTGTTATTGTGACGCACTTGACTATGCATTTGAGGGGAGAAGTGGAAGGGATTATGATGCGCCCTTGCTACCGACAAATGAATGGTTGTATCCGATCCCCACGTTATGTATAACGTTGTATCGTGTTTCAAATCCAGGATTGCGAAGAATGTCTCCCTTTGGGGAGACTTTACAGGAAACATTTAGGTAATATCCCATTTGAATTCGTATTCTATACGCGTAATTCGTGATTTTCAACCTTAACAGATTGAGGGAATTCGAAGCAGGCACCCTGGCAGGCACTTTTAGTGAAGCTGTTTCTGCAGTTTCAAAAGTTGAGAAGTAGCACTTTCGCACGGTTTTTTTGAGAATCGTTTTGTTCAAGCGTCTTACATTTTCGTCCCTTTTGATATATTCTCTGTGAGAAAGTGACTACGATTTTCGTTCTTTTCTACATAAGAACTTTATGTAATGTCCGTATGCACGCGTATGTGTGTGTGTAGCGCGCCTTAGGAGACAGATATTAATCTTCCTGCAAGAGGCAAACCGCTCACAACAGCGGAATTTATCATTTAGATCCTTGCCTCATTTAGATCCTTGCCCCCTTCTCGTCCTCTCGCCTCTCCTTCGGGAGCGCCGCTGCTGAGTGGAGCGGCTTCGCGCGATGGCTGGTCTTGGGGGCAGTGCTGACTGCCTAGGGTCTCTGGAAAAGCCAGTGATACTCAGTGGAGAATTGGGACATTTGTCCGTTCTGCACTTTTAAGTAGGTTAATGGCAGCCCCTCACCAACCATGTAGGATTTCTAGGTGGAAATTGAGCGGTATTCGGTAGCCTGACCTTCTGGGTTTTCATACCATTTTTTCTCTCTAGTCTTGTTATAAGGTAATGAATAAAAGCTAAGTAGTCCTTATCTTACATGAAAAAAGAGTTTGCCGCCTAATACGGGAACCGTTTTTTCTAGTGCATCCTTACCAATAAAAACCTCTGGTACCCTTCTGGGAGGGAGCAGGAAGGGCCACAGGGGATCAGCCTGACTCCCCTTATCCTTGCCTTGCAGGCCCAGTGGTTCTCAGCACCCCTGCCCAGCTCATCGCTCCCGTGGTGGTGGCCAAGGGGACTCTCTCCATCACCACGACAGAAATCTACTTCGAGGTAGATGAGGATGATTCCGCCTTCAAGAAGATCGACACTAAAGTGAGTTAAAGCGATTCCGTGTACGGTACTGGTGGCTTTGTGCCAGAGAGTGGTTTTCAATTTTGTTTGATTTTACCTGACAGTGGAGGAGGGGAGCACATTCTCCTCTTTCTCAGAGAAAATAAAATGAATGAAAAAGCATGTTCACTTTATGGAACTGAAGACTATATTAATGAAGTTAAATCCTGTATTACCAGAGCATGCACATTTTAACAGTCTTTCTGTGAGTGCCTTTGTTTGCGCTTGGGCAGATTTGGTAGTTAAGCCAATTGCTCCCAAGTCCCTGGGGCCCAGAATCTCAGGCTCTGAGGGCTGACTACGAAAGGTCTTAAGAAATTTCTTATTAAGATCACTTTTAATTTTCAAAACTTTAGATTGAATTGTGATTATTGAAAAGTTATAAGGAAACTGGGGGGAGAGCCATTTAGATATAAATTCATCTCCATTAGTACACCCATTTTGTCCATCTCCTGAAATAAGAATGGGTTTTATATGTGGATTTAAGAGGAAAGCAACTGATTCTCTGAGCTTTGATTTAAAATATATATGCTAGAACTCAGATGTTTAAATATTGTATTCTTCTTTGATTATAATGCCAGAAAATACATATTGGAACCATTTAAATGCATACTTATTAAATGTTATTGTGTAGATTTTAAACACCAGAGTATTAGAGTAGCTCTTTCTCAGCACTTTCTGAGATCTATTTTAATATTTTGACTTTCATGTTACTGTGCAATTTGCAAACTTCTATTCTGGGGTTAAGAATTCAAGAGCATGAAGTGTCACACTAGAAATTCTAGCATCATTTTGCAAAAAATCTTCCTTTATTTTTAGAGGCAGTTATTCTAAAATAGTCAAAGACAAATGCTCCCACAGATCCAGAACTTTATTGTTTTTAATTTAGATATTGATATAAAATGTAATAAAATAGTATTGGTAAACTAGAGCTAAAATCCAAAAATTTACCATCACCTGAATTAACTAACTTAAGGCCCATAGGTGATCAGCATTTTCAGCACTTGTTGACTACTAAAGTATTCCAAAGGATAGTCATGGGACTTCTTTTACTTCCAGCTCCAAATGCAGTTTTTAAAATAAGTCAGTCATCTCTACTGTCATGATAGACTTTTTTTCTTATATTATCAAAAATGCTACAAGAAGAGCAAGCTTTCAAAGGTAGATTTAAATTGTGTCTGTTGTAGAAAGGAATTGTCTTACAAGTAAGTTAGAGACTGAGAGTAGATCGTTATCTTATATACCTATACAGAAAGAGCTTTTCTCCAATGTTTTATTTTTAAGGATTTCATTAGCATATTTCTCAAAATGTTTAAGATATTCAAGTGGGTTTGATTTTCAAAATGCAGCATTACATCTTTTGATAGGAAACAATTTAAAGTGAGACACGACAACTTTTATTTTACTTCATTTATTAGCATCTAATTAAATAAAAACCAGCAACAAATTAAAATCTAAATCACAAAAGTAATTATCCAGTGTATTTCAAGTGCATTTTTCAAATATATAATTCAGATATTCAAGCGTTATTATATAAGCTGAATTCAAATTTCTTTGAATATATTTAAATAACATTTCAAGTATATTTATGGAATGTTAGAAATAGAACAAGCAATATTTGAAACAAAATGTAAACTTTTTAAAGTTCAGACACTTTCAAAGACAGAGGAAAGTACCAGGAGGAAATCTACCTTTAAATGATAACTTTGTTAGTGGAAAATGTCTGGAAGTATCGAGAATGGCAATTTAAGTTCTGTTCACCAAATCACAAACACCAACATCCACACTTTCAAAGACAATGTGAGATCACAATATTTGTTGCAAATCAAAATATACATTACAGTTTCTTTCAGATGGCATATCCAAATCGTGTTTACTCACAGGCAGATGCACCTAAATCACCAGGATTGCAATAATCCTTTGATAGTTAGGCGGAGTGTTCGTCGCGGTCTTGCATTACAACCGGGCTGTTTACGGAGTGTTACGGTGTACTTTTCAAGGGAGATAGGAAATCGTGTGGCAAGAAGTCTTCTAATACTAGTGGCTTTGGGTTTTTCTCCATCCGCTTCCCCTACTTTTTCTCCCCTTGTGGGGGTGGGTGAGATGATGTCTAAATATTGTATTATTACTCCTTTTTAAAGGAAGAGATTGTTTACACTGCGGAGTGGAATATTAGGAATTGAACAGAAGTTTACACTTAATAAGGACTTTGAGAAGGGTAATAATTTCGGCTCTTGATTAACTCATCCTCTAAAGTTTTTCCAAACTTTTCGGGTTGGTCAGGATCTCTCTTGCCAGTCGCCACGTTTGTTTGGCAGCGTTTTCCAGAGCTGAGTGAGGTTTGCCTTGAAACAGATCTAAGTTCGGTAGAAAGTAGTGGGGACACCGCCGGCACTGCAGGCAGGAGATAAGTTGCAGCAAAATCCCGTTCAGCCGATCACCCAGGCAAGACTCGTCCCAGTCCGACTCCCGGGGATGCTTTTCACACTCGTAGGAAACCAGAGTCTTCATGTGGTAATTGTTCAAGGGCTGGCCAGGCAGTTCAAGGTGACGATCCCTTAAGGTTTTGAGGATGGAGAGGCACTTCTTTCTGCAGCCCCCCATCTGCAGTCTGTTCTCTGCCTCCGCGAACTGCAGCACCCAGGCGTCGCTCTCCGCCGAGCTCTGCTTGCCGGCCAGGGAGTGGCACTCCTTGGACAAGAGATTGAAACCTTCCGCCTTCACCTCCGCCACCCGGTTGGGTCCCGGCCAGGGGATGTGGGGAAGTGGCCAGTGGGCAGCACTCCTCGGCCAGATCCCGGTGCATTTAAAAGCCGGCGTGATCTGCACCACGTACCTATCTCGGATTCTCAGTTTCACTTCGCTGGTGTCTGCCACCATCTTTACCACATCCCTGTAGCTACATTTGTCTACCGCTTGAGCCACCAGCGTCTGAAACCTGGACCGGATTTTGCGCGCCGAGAGGTAGCCGGAGGCGGTAATGAATTCCACCCAGAGGGACATGCTTCTCTTGCGCCCGTCGCTCAACTTCAGCACCGCGCAGCCGGGCAGTGAGCCATCGTCCACGAAGTTGAACACCCCCATTTGGTTGAGATAAAGCACCACTTCAAATTCCGTGGGGGAGATGACCTCAAGGCCCTCGTAGCGATTGTCCATCTCGTTGAGAGAGCTGATGAACCGCGGCTCCTGCACTTCCACTTCCTTCAGTACGTCGGAAACTACTTTGCAGACTTCCCGGATAGTTTTGGCAATGGCAGCTTTCCTGGCTTGGCATTTTTCGTTGTAGTATTTATTCAGATGGTAGACAAGCTTGGCCTGGGCCGCAATCATGTTGGGGCAGAGATCCGGATTGTACACCGGAGTCTCGCAGTAAGCTGTGGGATCCAATGCGGCTGCTAGAGCTGGAGCCAACTTCGGTGGAGAAACGGGCCGCAGCGCTCAGAAATGGATCAAAAATGCCTCTCGGAAGTGCTGCAGCGTTGGTTTCCCTGCTGCTGCTGCTGCTTTTCCCTTCCTTTTATCTTTGAGCCCAGCCGTTCTTAAAGTGAAAGACTGTTCTCCCCCCTCTCCTTGTCTCTCTTCCTCTTTTAAAGAATCCTTGTGTGAGAGAACCGCATGGAGAGATCACCTTCTCAGGAATAAAAAAAAAAAAAAAAAAGTTGCGCTGAGACCCAGCAAAGCTCTTCCAGTAGTCAAAATAAGCACCCCTTTCCGTATTTATTTACGCTTTCCCGTAATCATTGTGTGTGCAGCACTGTTAATCAAATGGAGGAAAAGTGTGCTGAGAGTGTGTCCGGGATGAGTGTGCGTGTGTATATGTCAGAAGAAGCTGCTGTTGATTTGTCTAAGAGCCCAGATGCACTCGTGTGGAAATTATAAAGGCAGGGCCAGGCAGGCGGGCGGCCAATCGCCACTGGGCTCGTCACGACAGCCTCCTTCAGCTCCAACCCGGCTAATTAATCCCCCCTCATGGATATAGGCACACAAACTAAAGGTAGGAGGCTGCTGCCGGCAGAAAACCACCCAGGCCACCTAGACAGTTTGGAAATCAAGAGGAATATCTCAGCTGTGGTACTACTTGAAGCATATTGACATTTTGAAAAGACTTGGCAAAGCGGCTCTCTTCTGTGCCGAAAACCCTGCTTGTCTTTTTACCGCTGAAATGCAAATACAGGTGTATTAATGGGAATCCATCAATTAGTGATCTAGACGGGGTTTTCTAAAACAAAATCACTAACTTGCATTTAGAGTAAGATAATTAATGCCTGTTAATCCTTGGGGTCTTCTTAAATGCAGGTTGAAAGTTTGTTCATGCAGACTACTGGCATATGGAAGTTGGCTTTAGATGGAGGAGGACCTGTGCAATTTTCTCATTCTGGATGTTCCTATATGTTAAAATGATTTTTTGAAACGTTATGGAGGTAGTGTGCTCTTTTTTTACTTATGTTTTTTCCTTTTTTGCATTTGTTGAAAGGAATCTGAAAATAATTGCTGAATGTATTAGATGTTCTACCCCCGTTTAAGTTAGGATGTTTAAAAAATATTTAGTACATCCCTCTGCCCCACCAGCTGCAGTCTTTGCACTTTGGTAGACTTGACCAGCATTACAAGCAGGACACAAAGCTATATATGCACTATAGAAACATTTGAAAAATCACTTGTCTCTGGGATGGAGTTTTAGTTCATAAAATTCACGTGAAAGCATAGAGATCAAGCCTCCTCACAGATAACTATCCTGAAAATTTGAAGGTTTGGGGGTTTCTGGCTTGTTTACAGATGTATAATTAAGGATATATCTCCTGTCTTAAGTGTCCTTAAGTGGTGACCTAGCAGTAGACTTCTAATTTTATACTATTTCGTGTGATTTAATTAAGGGAAAATGGTTAACATTTTCAAAGAAAATTAACTTGCAATCAGCTAGGGGTCATTTCTGGATTTAAACATCATTTTGAAAACAAAAATGAAATCATTTCATTTCTGAATTTTGGAACCCGGAAACAGGAGGAGGAAATTTCTTTTCTTCCTAGTTGGTGGTCCAGTTGTGTCCTCAAAGCACAGGAAACTGAAAAAATACTACTTAGTGGTTATGTCGTGGTTTTTAAACCTAGGTGGATTTTTTAATTGTCTACCTTTAATTTAGATGCCACGTCCTTCCAATTAAGAATATTTCCAGTCAAATCCTATAACTCCCCGTAACAGGTTTGTAGGCACTTTCAGAGCCACTTTTAATAAGATCTTGTTCAGGGATCCCACTTTTTACTTAAGTTTTTGATTTTTGTTTGTGTGTTTTGCACAGGTACAGCATCACAAAGCCACCTATTATTTAATTTCTCCTTATCCAACAGTGATAGATTCCAATTTAGCTGAAAATAGTATATTACATTGGGTTGCGTGGCACCCATCTACTTTATTTCCCAAGAACCTTCCATCCCCTTAGGAGCAGGGCTTGGGAACACCCAAAAAGCCCCTCCCCGCTTTGCCGTCGTCTCGGGTGAATGCACTGCTACCTTTTGGCAGTTGGAGGGGAAACGCATCAGAGCCCGAGAACCTGCAACCGCCACGGCGAAGATGTGCAGTGGTCTCTGGGGAAACGCCGCCTTCTGCCCTCACCCGGAGCGGGTGGCCCTGTGCCGTCCGCTCGCCCTCTCTCTCTAGCTGCGCCGCATTCCCGTGCCCTCTTACTTTCCTCTCTGGGCTCAAGATCGCTACGCTCTATTTCTGCGTGAGCTTATTTGAAAACCTTACTTGGAGTCCGGGTTTACTCTCCACGTCTGCTCCAGGCCACGCTGTGCCCACGCACCCCTCAGCCTTGACTGCCCACGACCGGCCCAGGTGTGGTCGCAGCCAAGCCCCCGCCTCGGGCCTCTGCGCCCTGCGCTCTCTCCCTTGCTTTCAGGCCCTCTGAGATGCTTGCCCCAAGACCTCGCCCCTTGCCTTCTTGGGCCACCTGCAGAACAACCCTGGTTGTCAAGGACCTGAGACAGCCGAGGACGGGGAGTCCCCGGGGCTGTACGAGGGACCTTGAGTGGGTCTAACGGGAAGGATGCGGGCCTGCGAGGGACGCCGGCCGGGTCTGGCTGGAGCCAGGCGCGCAGGTGGCGCATCTTCGGGGCTCACTGTGCAGCTTAATTGGGTTAAAGCGAAGCTAAACACCGAAGCACTTCGTGCAAACTAATTGGTGCAACCAGCTCCTTTTCACTAACGATTTGCACTTTGAGAAAGAAAAATGGATGGTGAGAAAAGGTATACTAGGAAACTCGTTAGATCTAGTGTTCCAGGAAAGTGAAGTCATTTAGTTTCAAGGACGCCAGGACTGTGTTTTCTAAGCTGCTTCCTTAAGCATCCTTCACACACGGAGTTGAAGGTGATTTACATAACATAGGATTCACCGGTCCGCGGTTATCACTGTGGGTGAACTGGGCGCCCTGGATTGAATAATACTCTAGTGCAAGTACTGCTTGTTGCTGCAACACAGTGATTTTCTATTACACTGAACACGTGAAATGAATTGCCTTCTGTAGCTGAATCCTTTCAGTGATCTTAGACGCCCCTCATTGTTGAAGTGAAAATTAAGCTATTCGGAGAAGTGTGTTTTCCATCCCCGAAATTTTTTTATGGAAATGACCTATAGAGAGGAATTACAAATAACAGTATGTTTTTGTGCAATTCAGCCTATTTTAATCTAGGCTTGGGGGATATATTTATTTTATGGGAGTAACATATTTAACTATTTTTCAGTAAATTTTTAAAAAATATCATTTGACCTATTAAACTAGTTATGTCAAATGATTATGCAGTACATCGAGATGGCTTAATATACGTTTATGTATTAATGTGAACAGTTTTTTAAAAACCTCCAGCTATACCAGTCTTGCAATATTTTTTGTTGAAAATGTAATCTTAGTGCTACTAGAATAAAATTGTGTGTGTGTCATGCTTTCGGATGTAAATACTTAATTATTTTCCGTGGTATGCATGCAGACATCTTTGACATGACCTAATAATAGAATGATAATTAAGGAAAACTGGCCTAATTGAAGAAAAAAACATCTCAAGAATCTCATGATGTAATGATAGTTTGAAATGCTTATATTGAATGGTATTTAGAATTTTAATGCCTAACTGACGTTTACATTTCATTTACTTAGTTTATGAGGCAGGCTTGATTTAAAATGTACCAGTTAGAAAAAAAAATAATAAGGACACAGCACACCATTATCATAAATGTTAGTAGTATTAGTGAATATAAAATAATTAAATACTGTGATCCTTAACACTTCGAAGCGTTCAAAATAACAATACCTAAACAACTTTTCCTCAAGTACTATTTCCTAAATAACTTATCTCCACTTCTGTAAACCTGCTTACTTATATGGGATATACAAAGCAATTCATAAATAGTGTCATTATTAAGCTTAAAGAAAAACTCTGTTATGTTCGAGAAATACAAGAATGCAAAATTTTTTTCTTTTAGAAAAAAACTAATTTAAATTTGAATTGCATGTTCATAAATCTCAGCAATTGTAACCTTTCATCTGGAAAAGAGGTATCTGTTAAAGGATATGCACATACATGTTAAGTGCTTACATAGATATTGTTTGGTGTTTTTTCATTATCTGCTAGCTGCTAGTCTATTCACAAGTATTCATGAATTTAAAGTTTTATTTTTTTAATATGTGCTTATTACACTGGGGAGATAAAAAGAATATGAAGTTGAGTTTATTACATTATTTATCCCTACTGCTGGAGTGGCTTTGAAGGCTCATTGTTGGCATCTGATTTCCTTCCCCCTTCTTTTTTTTATAAATGCACCCAGGCTATTTCAAGTGTTTCATTCTGCCAGACACAATATATTTCTTTTTTTACACTAGAGAAATTAAAGACAGATATTTGTGCAGGGTTTTCTTTATGTGTCACATTAAATAAAGTAAAATAGAGAGAATTTTTCTGGTAATCTAATTTGATGGCATCTATACCTTTCTTCCTGTGTGATTCTTGGTATAAGAACACTTGAGACAAAAAATAGCTTAAAAGCTTTCAAGGTTTCAGTGATTTCTTAAAGTAATTATTTCATCTTTTAATATCAGATTTATTTCAAAGTCAAACAGAGGATTGAGGTCGCTGTTTGCACAATTTAGACCCTATTTCACTTCTTCAACTAGAACATTTTGAGAATCGTGGTTAATTTTTTAAAATTGTTTATTCTTCACTTGACTGATGAAGGCCTTTGCCTCAGTTTTCTTCATCACCCTAGTTCACATATAGTCACATTTGTAGTGAAGAGTACTGTTTTTCTCTACAGTGTTGCTTAATAAACTTGATATTGGTATTAATAGGTTTTTGAAAAGAAAGGTAACTTTGAGATTAAAAATGGAAGTTGGGAGTATACTTCTAAGAATTGACCACCACTGCTTGATTTGCAGACTTGAAGTAATACTGGATAACTCTAGCCAAAACCTTTCTTTTGATAGAAAAAGAAATTTAAAGCCCAGCTTATTTTCATAATTGTCTCTGTTTCCTCACTTCATTTGCATGTGTACACAGAGGTACAGGATGTTTTCAGTTGTATCTGCAAACTGAAAAAAAAAAATGGGGGAAAAAATGGGGGAAGGGAGGCTATCAACCTAAAGAATTTTTTATTGCTCAGCATAAATTGTGATCTCTAACCTTTTCCAAACATTTAAGGACAAGTCATTAATTTATTGAGTATTATGTAGGAAATATGGATTCTGATAGTCTAATTTCTCACAAACCCTTCAGAAAGTTACTGTTATCTTTCTAATAAAACTAAAATCTTTTTGTTAGATTTCAGCTTATAATTTTCTTGTGATATTATAGAAATATTCAGACAGGATAAATGGGCTCACATGATTCTTTTCTATATGAATATATGAAAATTAGGTATTTCCTAACCCATAACACATACACAAATGTATGTATGATTTTACATACATGAATTTACATATATTTGTGTATATGGCTACATTTTTAGTACTTTTAATATGCTATATTTTTATTGCATTTAGAGAAAACAAGGAAATCAGATTCGATGAGTGTATGTTAATCCCTACATCTGTACTAGGTCATCCAGGACTGCACTGCTCTCATTACTGTTTCATACTGTATGTGATTAAGCCACTGAAAATATTCAACATGACCTTGAGACTAGAATATGATACATAGATAATCAACTTCCAGTGATTACATGTCTAAAATAACCTTTCCTGTTTTTAATTTATAGTTTTGGAGCTTATTTTTTAATGAGCAAAGTAATTCTTCTAAACTAAGATTTATTTTTTTAATGATCAGTAACTGGAGTAATAATTTAAAAGGATAATTACATCAAATAGAAAACGATTACC